CCATTCACATAGTAGGGAGTGGCGTGGGGGAAGCCAAAGGTGCCAGAGGATCCCCTCCTTCCAAAAATCAGACCAATCCTCTGGAGATGACAATCAGATCCAGGTTTAAAGTTGCCCTGCAAAGGAACTGTGTTCTTTGGGGAACCCAGGCCGCAAAATGCAGCAAGGCCCAGACAGGCATCCCTTGGATCCTCACGGGGTTCAGCTTTGGATATGCTGCCTCTGGTTTGTCACCCCTTCACTCTGCACAGAGCCCCAAATGCCCTTTTCTTAGCCTGGCCATCTTTCAAGGCCGGTTCAATTGCTGCCTCCTCCAGGGAGCCTTCTGTGTTTCACCATGGAATGGGGGACCTCGCCTGCCTTGTGGTCACTCTTCCCCCAGTCTATGTCTCTCTCTCGGAACCTAATCACAGAGACTCTGTACTTCCAAAGCCGCCTCTCCCACTTGCAGGGGGGTTTAAGGACCCTGTGTGGAGTGCTCACGATTCCCCTTATTCTTCAGGACCCCTGTGAGGCCGGTACTCCCACCACCTCATGTTACAGATGGGGAAACTGAGGCTGAGCGAGGTGAAAGGACTTTCATGAGGGGACACACCAGCAAGTGGCAACGCAAGGTGTGGACTGTAGCTCTGTGGCCATGGGCCTGGGCTCCTCCTGCCGGCCGAGAGGTCTGCCCGCCTGTGCCCCCCTCTTCCTGGTCCCTGAAGCCTTTGCACCCCTCAGGGAATCATGCATAACCAGCTCCTGCAGAACGTGCTGCTGAATGGGCCCTGGGCAGTGTTCCTGAGCGCGCTTCTCATTTATTAAGGTCGCAAAATCCCTGGCCCTGTTTAGTGTCATTTTTGATGTTCAAGGGCGGTGTGGAAATCTCTGTTTTTATGTGACCCAATTTCTAGGCTTTCAGAATGCGGATCTTCTCCTCCCACTCTGTGTTTTTGAAATCAGGTGGGCAGGGCTGCCTCGCAGCATTGCTGCTTGCCCCGGGTCTCCCTCCGCACCCCTTAGGCCCAGGTATGTGGGCACAGTGCCAGCTCTTGGGCCCTGCCAAGAGGACTCACGGGCATGGCACACCTGGGCGATCCTCCACCCGTAGGGTAACTGGGTCTTTTGTTCGTCCTCTGCCGTCAGCATGAGCACTGCAGCAGCTGTGCTGGACGGGACCTCCCTGCACCTGTTCCAGTCCTCCCATGATACCAGCGAGGACATGGGACTTCCACCCGGACCCCCTGTGCTCCAGGGTTATCGTATTCCGGAGGATTTCTGTGAAAAATCACTTTTCCCTGTTTCCTTTCTGCCTTGTAAGACTCTGCTGGCTACAGCCCTCTTTGTAACTAGTCATGTGATACAAAGAATTGCTGAAATTTGGTCTCTGTTTTCTCAGCTGATCTGGGTGACCTGTGGGGGATCTTTTGGAGTATTTTTAGGGAGCTGGGGCGGAGGGAGTCTCAGAACTCTATGTGTGAATCATTTCCCCATGAAGGCGTTCAGCATTTGTCCACTGCTGGCACGGAGTTATGCCGTGGATTTTGGAAAATCAAAGACGAATGGTGCCCGGGTCTTCCCTTGGGATGCAGGTGCGGAGGGCGGCGTGTGCTGGCAGCCGGGCTGGCTCGTGGCTAGAACGTGCATTACCTGGACAGGGCCTGCTTTTTTTTTTTTTTTGCTTTAAAATATATTGTCATAAAATAGACGTAACATAAACTTCACCATCTTAGCCGCTTTCAAGAGCAGAGCTCACGAGCAGTAAGTACGTTCTCACCGTGCAGCCGTCAGTACCACCCACCCGCAGAGCCCTTGCATCTTTCCAAACCGAAGCTCTGTCCTTATTCAACGCTAACTATCTGCCTTCCCCCTGCCCCTTTCTCCTCTATGCGTTTCCTACTCGAGGGTCCTCCTATTGGTGTACAGCATTTGACTTTCTGTGTCTGGTTTATTTCACTGAGCATAACCTCCAGGTTCACCCATGCTGTAGCCTGGTCCGAATGTCCTTCCTTTTTTTTTTTTTTTGAGATGGAGTCTTGCTCCGTTGCCAGGCTGGAGTGCAGTGGCGCGATCTCGGCTCACTGCAACCTCTGTCTCCCAGGTTCAAGTGATTCTGCTGCCTCGCCTCCTGAGTAGCTGGGATTACAGGTGCGCGCCACCACACCCAGCTAAGTTTTATATTTTTAGTAGAGACAGGGTTTCACTATGTTGACCAGGATGGTCTCAATCTCTTGACCTCATGATCCACCTGCCTTGGCCACCCAAAGTGCTGGGATTATAGGCGTGAGCCACCGTGCCCGATCATGTCCTTCCTTTTTAAGGCTGGGTGATATTCCATTGTATGCATGGACCATGTTTTGCTTACTCATTCATCTGGTGTTCTCAAATACCAAGACTCAGTGATTTCAGCAGTGCCTGCAAGCTCCCGTGAATGAAAAACCTTCCTAACCGCAATCTGTACCTAGGCTCTGACCCCCGCATCAGGCAGTCCTGCAGGATAAGGCGTCTGTTTAAAATGCAAATGTGTTACCTTGCGGGGAGTGAGTAACTAGCATCCCGGGGCCCTGCTTCCATTGTCCTTATGAAGGATGGAGGTTGTGTTGTCCTGGAAGCTGGGTCCACAGCCGTGTCCCGAGAGCCCCTCACATGCCACGCTCTGGGCTGGGGACTCGACGTTCATGGTTTGGTTACATGTAGCCCTTCTGGCTGGGTACTGTGGCTCATACTTGTAATTCCAGCACTTAGGGAGGCCGAGATGGGTGGATCATGGGGTCAGGAGATGGAGACCATCCTGGCTAATCTGGTGAAACCCTGTCTCTACTAAAAATATGACAAATGAGCTGGGCATGATGGCATGTGCCTATAGTCCCAGCTATTCAGGAGGCTAAGGCAGGAGAATCACTTGAGCCCAGGAGGTGGAGGTTGCAGTGAGCCAAGATCGCGCCACTGCACTCCAGCCTGGGCGACAGAGCGAGACTCCATCTCACAAAACAAAAAACAAAGAAAAACCAAAAAACATCTAGCCTTTCCAAAGACCCTGGCATTTTTGCAGTATTACATATAAATGCCATGTGCAGAAACATGGGTTATTTCCACTTTTTTTTTTTTTTGAGATGGACTCTCGCTCTGTCACCCAGGTTGGAGTGCAGTGGTGCGATCTCAGCTCACTGCAACATCTGTCTCCCAGGTTCACGAAATTCTTCTGCCTCAGCCTCCCAAGTAGTTGGGACTACAGGTGCAAGCCACCATGCTTGGCTAATTTTTTATTTTTAGTAGAGACAGGGTTTTACCATGTTGAGCAGGATGGTCTCAAACTCCTGACTCAAATGATCCACCCACCTCAGCCTCCCAAAGTGCTGGGATTACAGGCATGAGCCACCACACCTGGCCTGGGTTATTTCCACTTTTGGGCTGTTTTGAATAGTGCTGCTGTGAACACAGGGTAAAAGAGGGTCCGCTTTTTAAGAAGGTGAGTATCAGGACCTTTGCTGACGTGAGAGGAGCCGGCCTCCTGGGGCCCCGCTGCCGTTACGCGGGATGGAGGTTGTGTTGTCCTGAAAGCTGGGTCCACGGAGTGTCCTGAGAGCCCACTGCGTGCCGTGCTCTGGGCTGGGCACTCAACATTCATGGTTACGTTCAGTCCTTCCAAAGGCCCTGGCATCTTTACAGTCTTATCGATAAACGCCACGTGCGGAAACAGGCGCAGAGAGGTGAGTGGGACATACCTGGGGTCTCATGGCCAGCATGGGTGGGGCCCCGCTGGCCTGCTGCTTCAAAGCCATCATACCACACCCCCCTGCTGCTCCATCGCCTGCTACAGTGGAGGCTGGGTGCCCAGAGCTGCAGGTGTTCAAGGTGCGAGGTGACTGTGATGTTAAAAGAGGACATAGTTTAGTTGGAAGAAGCAAGTCCTGCTTTGTGGGTTCCTGCCCCAGTCTTAAAATGTAAGTTTAATTATTCAGGTAGTGAAGCCAACAGATCAGGAGAAGGCTGACTTGAAGAGATGGTGTGTTAATTCAGATTTACCTCTGCGTCTGTTTCATCAAGAAGGAGGTAGAGCTCCGGGCATACTGGCCTGGCTACTTTTGTGGCATGTGATCAGGGACTGCTCCCTGTGGCCCTCCACCAGGGCCATGAAAGCTGCCAGGGCCCTGCCTCCACCTGGCACCACGGATGTATCTTGGGGCCGGAACCTGGGGTCCCACGTGCAGCAGGGGCCGAGGCCGTGGACTTTGGAAGAAGTGTGACATTAGAGAAGCAAGGGGGTTGGCCCCCGGCATTCTGTGGGTGGATATTCCTCCCTGGTGGGTGTGGCTGAAAGGCCTGGAGGGTCTCACTGGTGCAGGGAGGCAAGGGATCATTTCTTGTTCTGGGATTGTCCCTAATCACTGGGCATTCCAGACCTTGTAACTGTCCAGGAGTGCCTTGAGACGGAAGGTCGCGGTATTTCTGACTGGAAGCCTCTGGCTCTCTCTGTTAGATTTTGTTGTATGTCCCAGCAGTCCTGACCTGGATGTTCCATCAGATTTCTGTCCCTGTGAATGTGGCTGTCACCAGTGACCCCACTTTGAACTCCAAGCTCACCTGTGTGCATGACCGGAGGGGGTTAGCCTCTCGAGTCCGTGGCTCAGGACGCAGTCCCGCCACAGAGGGAGGGCAGCCCCACCCTCTCACGCCCCATCGCTGTGGTCTGTGTTTTGTCTGCCTCGGCAGCCTTGGTCAGATCTGGAAGCATCTGGAAGCTTTGGTGTCTTAGTTATGAGTTTCAAAGAGCAGTGAAAACAGACTGGCAGGGCTCCGTGAGAATTGGGAAATATTTGGGGTGGGGAGGAACTGCAGAATGTATTCCTGATTTGGTGCATTGTTCCCTCTGACTCTTTCTGGGCAACAGACCTTTAGGAATGTCTGTTAAATGCCGAAAAAGCAGGAACTGATTTCTCTCTGCATCCACAGCCGACACATGAGGCCGTGGCGCTCCGTGTCTGCTAACCCGGTTTTTCTTTCCTTTTGCTCAACAGTGAGTGACCTGCAGGAAGAAGGGAAGAATGCCATCAACTCGCCGATGTCCCCTGCCCTGGCGGATGTTCACCCTGAAGACACCCAGCTCGGTAAGGGCAGCCCCTCCTCTCCCTGCCCTGAAACAGCTGAGCGTCTATGGCACAAAGTTGGTCTTGGGGAGGCCAGTGAGGAGCCCCATAGATGTGGCCTCTTGATCAGATGCTGGGGGTATTTGGGAGTCTAAGTTCTTAGCTCAAGGTGGTGTTTGGAAGAGTCCACTGGGAAAAGCAAGTCCTTTGTGGGTTTCTGCCCCAGTCGTAAAACCTAAGTTTTATTATTCAGGTGGTAAAGCCAGCAGATCGGGAGAAGACTGACTTGAAAAGATAGTTTGTTAAATTCAGTTCTGAAAGCAGGTGTAGCAGGCCACTCAGGGCTATGCCATGCCACGCCACACCATGCCACGGAAGGCCACGGAAGGCCACGTGGAAAGCATCAGGCAGAGGCAGAAGGAGCAGGGCCAATGTCTTTATTTTGTATTATATATATACGTATTTTTCTCAGGCCGGGTGTGGTGGCTCACGCCTGTAATCCCAGCACTTTGGGAGGCCAAGGTGGGTGGATCACAAGGTAGGGAGATCGAGACCATCCTGGCCAACATGGTGAAACCCCATCTCTACTAAAAATACAAAAATCAGCTGGGTGTGTTGCTGTGTGCCTCTAATCCCAGCTACTTGGGAGGCTGAGGCAGGAGAATCGCTTGAACTTGGGAGGCAGAGGTTGCAGTGAGCCGAGATTGTGCCACTGCACTCCAGCCTGGCAACAGAGCGAGACTCCATCTAAAAAAAAAAAAAAAAAATAGAGAGATAGAGTCTCACTCTGTCACCCAAGCTGGAGTGCAGTGATGTGATCATGGCTCACTGCAGCCTTGACCTTCCAGGTTCAAGTGATCCTTCTGCCTTGGCCTCCTGAGTAGCTGGGACTACAGGGTGTGCCATCACAGGCACCTAACTCTGTGAATTTTCTGTAGAGATGGAGTCTTGCCATGTTGCTCAGGCTGGTCTCTAACTCCTCGGCTCAGGCAATTCTCCTGCCTTGGTCTTACAATGTGCCGGAATTACAGGTGTGAGCCACTGCGCCTGGCCCAACACCCTTACTGTGGCTTTCTCTGAAGGAATGGGCAAGACTGGGTGAACAGGCCTGGGCCTGACTGGCTGGAATCATTTCAGTGGGCTCTGGGGTACAGGGACTATCCTGAGTCTTCTGGTACCTGGTCCTGGGGAGATGAGGGTAAGGACATTGGCTGGGAGTGTAGGAGCCACATAAGAGCCAAGAAAAGAGGTGGTTGGGGGCTCTGGGGGCTTGGGCTCTGAGTGGGTTTATGTATGGAAGGTGCGGTCACAGAGCGTGGTTTACCAGCTCTAAGAATTAGCTCGCCCTGGAGGTGTGGCCTCTCCAGAGTCAGCAAGGCCCCAAGATGCCAGGTACCAGAAGATACAGAAAACAGGACGGACACTGTGGCTCACGCCTGTAATCCCAACACTTTGGGAAGTGGAGGCAGGTGGATCACCTGAGGTCAGGAGTTCTAGACCAGTCTGGCCAACAGGGCGGAATCTTGTCTCTAATAAAAATACAAAAAATTAGCTAGTGTGGTGGAGGGGGGGTGCCTATAATCCCAGCTACTTGGGAGGCTGAGGCAGGAGAATTGCTTGAACCCGGGAGGGAGGTGGAGGGTGCAGTGAGCTGAGATTGCACCACTGCACTCCAGCTTGGGTGACAGAGACCATCACCAGGTGGCTGGGAGACCCCTGCAGGATCCGCAGACACAGCCACCTGTCTGGGGCCCTCTCAGGCCCACTGTCCTCCTCCAGGTGGGGTCAGGAATGAAACCTACCCCACAGGGACAATTAGAGGCCAGAGATGCCTCTGAGACAGTGTTTGGTGACGCTAAGCCTCGAAATGGCATCTCTGTCCTCCTCCACCCTTCACAGTCTCTGGTTCAGATGCTCCGTTCCCCTTGGTGGCCGACTGAGGCAGGACCCCTCAAGGAGCCCGCAGCCCTGGGACATCAGAGCAGGCATGGCATGCTGCCCAGTCCAGGGGTTGCTGGGGGGTCGGACGTGGGCTCAGAGCCTTCAGCAAGGAGCACGAAGCTCCCCTTGAGGTCCACATGAGCTGGCTGGGTCCGAATCTTGATTCTTCTCTGTTCAACGAGAGCAAGGAGTGGGGATACAGGGCAATGCTGGGATGATACAGGGCAGGCAAATACAGGGATGTTCCCTGAAATGGCCTCTCTGAAGGCTGGGATTGGGTAGTGACCTACTCACTCTCCATCCTGCACCTTCCCCATACGTGTGTGGACTCACGGCCTGGCCCTGCTCCTTGCCAGCCTGAGATGGGTGGTCTGGAGGGGGTCTCAGACATGGGTCATCCAGGTACACCAAGGCTCCTTCGGGTAGGAGAGCTTGGAAGATTTGGCGTTTGGACTCAAGGATCTCAGCTGGGGAGCTGAGGTCTGAAGAGTGAAGGAAACATGGGCCAGGGAGAGAGGGTCAGACAGCGGGAGCAGGTGCCACGGCCCGGGGAAGGTGGCGGCAAGGCTTCAAGGAACGAGGGAAGGCCGGACAGGCTGGAGCAGATTGCACCAGGAGGGTGGGAAAGGAGGCTGGAGAGGGTCCTTGGAGGCCGTCTGGAGGCTGCCAGCCTTGATCCCAGCAGGAGTGGGAGGCTGCGGAGGCCTTCGAAGAGACATCACCAGGACTCCTGAGTGCTCCCTGCACATTACCTGGAGTGTCCTTCCCAAGCATCAGATCTGCAGGACTTCAAAAATAGTTTCTCCACATTGTCAGAGTTCAGACGCTGCCGCTGGGAAGTGACATCACATCCGTGTCAGCAGCAAAGTTTCACTCAATCGGATGTCAAGAAAGATTCACTCAAAGCCATTTTCTTTCTTTCTTTTGTATTTTATTTTATTATTTATTTTTAAAAATAGAGACGGGGATTTCACCAGCCTAGGCTGGTCTGGAACTCCTGGGCTCAAGCCGTCCTCCCACCTTAGCCTCCCAAAGTGCTGGGATTACAGGCATGAGCCACTACACCCAGCTTCAATGCTGTTTTCATTTTGACCAACACAGTCAGTATGTCCAGCCCTGTGGGAGCCCGTCTGGGCCCTGGGACCTGGTCTCTACTGTGTCCTGGCTGTTTCCACATGTATGTCCTCAGGGTACCTGGCTTCTGCCTGGAGCCCTCTTGTGCCCTTTCTCCTCTTTAAGAGAGGAGTGTGGTGTAGAGCCTCCTGGCGAGTAGACCCTGGGCCCCACCCATCCCACGCTCTGCCCAGATCCCGGAGCTGGACAGCGTGGGCAGCCTGAGACCCCCTTGCCCTTCCCTGAGTGTGTTCAGAGGTGCTTGGAGCCTGCTGGCTTCTGTGTGGCGCTGGGCATTTCTGCCACGGAGCATGCCTGGCCTCTGGGGGTGTCCCCTCCACAGTCCCGCCTCCCCCGCCACCACCTCCATGGCACCGTCCTCTGTGAGGGGCCCAGCTGGCTGCCTGGTGTCCGTGGGATCCATTGAAACATGGAGGGAAAGCAAACAGGTAGAGAAATAGAAAGAGGATGAGGATGAGCACATTTCGCTGATAAACATTATCCCCCCCCCTTTTTTTTTTTTGCCATTTCTTTCCCAATATGTTTTCTGCATGTTATTTTACATACAACCTTGCATGTTGATTCTTTTCCACTCAATGTACCGAATGTTTTCCATCTCGTAACCATCCCAATTCTTCGCATGTATTTTTAAATAGTGGCACTGGGGAGCTACCTGGTGCCTGAAGCTTTCCCACATGTCAGATTCCAGGCAGGGGACACGTCTCATGACCCTGTGAATGCCACTCTCTCATTATTTCTCCTGAAAAGTGGAAATGGTTTGGACCGGTTGTTGGTGAAGTCTGGGAGAGGCAAGGCTGGGCAGAACGATGGAGTTTGACTTCATCCCTTTACAGAAGACGGGAGGATGCCCCATCCACCTTCCAGAAGGTGGTTCTTGCAGTCACACAACCCCCAACTCCGTAGTGCTGGGCTCTCTGCTTCTTCATTTGACAGAGATGAGTCTGGCCTCCCCCTGGCTTCCCGAATCCCTGCTAACCCTACAATCGCTGACCGTGACTTCCTTTTGTCCCTGGCAGAGGAGAACGAGGAGCGCACGATGATTGACCCCACCTCCAAGGACGACCCCAAGTTCAAGGAACTGGTCAAGGTAAGGAGCTCCATCTCAGCTAGAATCTTCTCCTTAGGGTGAGGGCTTGGCTTTGGGGTTCAGGGCTCTCATGGACAAAGGGAGCTAAACCCGGGAGCTCCTGAAAGGGATGCTGGTGCAGCGCGAGAAGGTGGACGGATGTGTTGGCAGAGCAGGATGGCAGGGAGGATCCGTCCGGCAGTGCTCAGTGCCTCCTGTGTGCCCTGCTCGGCTGGGGCTTTAACAGCCAGGCTCGTGAGCTCTTTGCTGGACAGAGCTCGGCAGGAGGGGATTACAGGATTAGGAATGAGTGCTCGTGTGAGCTAGTGCGGCTCCTTACAGATGGAGTTGGAACTCCTTCTGGAGCCTGGTGGGGTCTGGATTCAGACGCAACTCTAAAACACAGGAGGCAACCCTCCGGCCACTCCTGCCAAGGAGCCAGCTGATGTTGACCCCTGTGCTGGGTGGACATCCGGTTTCCACCACGCCTGGAGGTGTGAATCCCAGCTGGGCAAGGAACCTGGCTGCCCCACTTTCAGAAGTCAGGGAGCATTGAGGGGAGGGGCCCGTGGCTCTGGCCTTGGGCAGCTGCTGTCCTCCTCCAGCGTGACTCCTGCTCATTATGGGGCAGTGCTTGTGTGGGTCCAAGTGCAGAGTGCAGTTTTGTCGCTCTGATCTAAACCATGGCAGGGCTTGGGAGGGAGTCCCCTGAAGAGGAGACGCTGTGGGCTCCGCCTGACCCTGGTGGACCCAGGGCTGGCTCTCGGGCAGATGGCCATGGTAGACACTTGGCTTCTGCAGCCCATGGCCAGCTTGGGTGCCCTGGGAGTCTTGAAAATGTTGATTATGACAGTGTCTGCCAGAAAGAGACATTTTTTCTATTAAAGGGGCTTTTTAAAAAAAGCTTCTCCACCTTAAACACCTCATTGGACCCAACGCTGGGCTGTACAACTGCATTTTCATGAGGGCTCATTCAGAATAAGTAAAATGGCTTGCAAGTTATATTCTTTTAAAATTTACATTGAGGCCTGACGTGGTGGCTCACGCCTGTAATCCCAGCACTTTGAGAGGGCAAGGCAGGTGGATCACCTGAGATCAGGAGCTCGAGACCAGCCTGGCCAACATGGAGAAACCCCGTCTCTACTAAAAATACAAAATCAGCCAGGGGTGGTGCATGCCTGTAATCTCAGCTACTCGGGAGGCTGAGGCAGAAGAATTGCTTGAACCTGGGAGGCGGAAGTTGCGGTGAGCCAAGATCCCGCCACTGCACTCCAGCCCAGGCACTAAGAGTGCAACTTCATCTTAAAAAAAAAAAAAAAAAACCCATTAAAAATGTCAGTTTTAGGTCCCACCCAAAGATAGTGATTCTTAATAACTTAAATTACTTATTTTATTATTATTTTTTCCTGAATACCTGCTCTGTTATTTTGAACAGAATAATGTCGATGAGGAAATTCGCTGTCTTTTAGCCACTAGAATGTTGTACTTGGGGGATATTTAAGCAAAGGCTGCAAGAGAAGTCAGGCCTCTCTAGATAAGCAGACCCAATTGTGTCAATATCTAGAGAGAGGCTGATTATGATATTGGCTCATGTGACTATGGAGGCTGAGAACTCCCACGACCTGCCATCTGCAGGCTAGGAAGCTGGAGGGCCAGTGGTGTAGATGCCAGCCTGAGTCTGCAGCCCTGAGGAACAGGAGCAGGGTGGGAGAAGGCCCACATGCTGGCTCGTGCAGCCCCCGGCAGAGAGAAGCGACTCCCTGCTTCCTCCACCTTTTTGTTCTATGGGATCAGATGAGGCCCATCCTCCTCGGGGAGGGCTGTCTGCCTTACTGCATCTACCAATTCAAATGCTCATCTCCTCTGGAAACACCTCCGAGACACACCCAGAAACAATGTTTCACCGGCTACTTGGGCATCCCAAAGCCCAGGCAAGTCGACACAGAAGATGAACCATTCATGCACCTTTCTCAACATTTTTCCTTTGATTTTTGAGCAATGCTTGAGAGTTCACCAACTCCATTCACAGGATTATCTCCTTGAAACAACTCCGTGGGGGGCTGTGTCATCCTTGCTGCCATATGGAGACTCAGAGAGGTGAAGGAGCCGGGGGAGGGGAGGGTGCCGTGGCTCACGGCTGAAATCCCAGTGCTTTGGGATGCCAAGGTGGGGGGTTGCTTGAGCCCAGATGTTTAAGATCAGCCTGAGCAACATGGTGAAACCCTGTCTCTACAAAACAGTACAAAAATTCACTGGGTTTGGTGGGAGGCACCTGTGATCCTAGCTACTCAGGAGGCTGAGGTGGGAGGATTGCTTGAGCCCAGGAGGTCATTGCTTGAGCATGTCTGTGAATAGGCACTGCAGTCTAGCCTGGGTGACAGATCAAGACCCTCTCTCAAAAAAAAAAAAAAAAAAAATGGAGAGGTTTAAGTAACTCCCCACCCCCAGGTGCTGGGGTTAGTGATGTGTCTGTGCTTGAATGGCTCTGTCCATTTGGTGTTGCCTTCACTGAGCTGGGTTGAGTGTGGGGTCCTGTGCTCGGCCCTGGGGCTGGGGGATGGATAAGTGACTTCCCTGCTGCGCAGGATTTGATTTACGCTCCTCCCAGATGTATGCAGCGCCACTCACCCCTGCCTCCCAAGACCTCCAGGCTGTTTCAGCCTTGGTGAGGTGAGGGCTGGGCTGCTGTGTATCTGTCAGCCCAGCATGGTGGGGCTGCAGTGTCTGCGGCAGCCAGCGCCAAACTGGAGGGATCTGTGGAGGCTTCAGCTGTTCTCTCTTCCAGGTTCCAGATTGAGAAGAAGGCCACATCGAGGGGCTTGGGGTGGGCTGGCTGTTTGGGAAAGCTAATTAACATTCTGCAGGACAAAGTAGGACTAAGGACAGGAAGGAGCTGAGGAACAAATGCCTCTCCCCGACTTCCCTGAGGTGTGCTTCTGAGACCATGGCTGGTGGAGATGCGCCGCATGGCTGAGCACCATCTGGGTTTTCTTCCAAAGCCATAGCCAGCTCATGCACCTGCCTCACCTCCCTTCCCCTCCCTCTTGCTAGTCTGGGATGCCCTTCCCTCACCTCCAAGCCCCTGCCAAAGAAAATGCATCAGCAGTGAGCTTTGCCCTGGCTCTGTTTTGCAGGGAACCTGGGCCAGAATCATGGCCCCCAAAGATAACCATGCGATAATCCCCGGAGCCACTGACTAGAACCTTGCATGGCAAAGGGACATGGCGGGTGGAGTTAACCTTGCAATGAGGAGGTCATCCTGGATGATCCAGGTGGGCCAGTGTGTTCACTTGTGTCCATAGAGGGACGGGGGAGCTTTGACTGCTCATGAACATGGCAGCTTGACCCTGGAAACAAGGTGGCCGCTTCTGGCTCTGAAGATGGAATAAAGGGCCACACACTGATGGATGCAGGTGGCCTCTGCCTCTAGAATTGGAAAAGACAAAAGAAGTGGAGAATCCAGGAGGAACCCTGGAACCTCTAGAAGAAACTAGCCCTGTAGATGCCAGCCCAGTGAAACAGATTTTGGACTTTGACCTCTAGGACTGCAAGAGAATCCACGGAGCTATTGGAAGCCCCTGGGTTTGTGTTAATTGGTTATAGCAGCCACAGACAACCAACACGATGCCCTTCTCCAAGCTGCTGCCTCTCCCCCTGCAGCTGGTGGGCCCTGGCCCCTGGGGCCAGGCAGGGTGGGTTTTGGTACGTACAGCAGCGGCAGCATCCTTGGCCGTTTCCTGGTAGGGCTAGTTGCCAGACACTGAGATGCCTGGTACGGCAACTGTCCCGGCAGGCTAGAGCACGTGTTTCTGGAGACAGGCAATTTCCCGAAGGCTCCACCTGCTCTCAGGCTGCAGGTTGCGCCTCAAAGCAGGGTGACAGACATTTTCCATCTTTGATCAATCATTTCCCAAAATAAGCATAGACACAGCAACCAGGAGAGCAGCATTGGTTCAGCTGTCGGTGGTGTGTCAGTTACTATAGTGGCGGCACAGAGGGGATGTGCACTAAATATTAGTTCTCACCAACGACAGCCTTTTAAACAGAGGATTGTGGGTGGTGGCAGGTGAGATGGTGGTGCTGAGCTTGGGCTGCGTGTGGTTCATTCTCATTTGTCAGGCGTGCAGGGGGCTCTCTGTGTGGCCAGGGTTTTCCCTGAATCTGAATTTACTCACGTCTGTCGATTCTCCGCACCACCTTCTGGCTTGGGAGGGAGTCTGATGCAGAGTGACATGCGTGTGCAGGTAAGGGTGAGCAGGGGAGGGTCAGCCCGCCAGCCACTTCCTGAGCTGGAGGCCAGCACTGTGGCCCGTCCTTGGGCTGCTGCTGAGCTGGGCACCCTCAGACATGCTCTGTCCAGACCCTTCCTGTGTCATTCCCAGCCTCCCCTCCTCCTTCACTGCCCCTGCCACCACGGTCACCTTGCTGTTCTGAGGACACACTGAGTAAGTACCCACTGGGTGTTGGGTGAAAGGAGACAGTCCCCCAAGCCCACCCTCACTTCTGACACCAGTGGCAAGTTCAGGATTTCCAACACTGCCCTGAGGTTTGATCATTTGCCTGAGGGACTCCCAGAGCTCACTTAAAGCTGTCCCACTGCCAGTTATGGTTTCCAATGGTGAAGGGAAACAGATGAAAATCAGCCGAGGGAAGAGTCTCCCAGGGCGGAGTTGAGGGCACCCACACAGCGCCTCCATTGTCCTTTCTCCATGGGCTCATGGCAGCGTTACTCTCCTGGTGACGTGGGGCCATGTGCACGCAGTACTGTCAGCCGCGGAGTCGTCTGAGCCTCCGTGTCCAGAGTTTCTGCTGGGCGTCCCTTGCATGGGCGTGGCTGACTGTCCACATGGCTCATCTGTCTCCAGCCTGTCCAGCAGGTGGCTGATACAGTGCGACCAAAAGCCCCCTCCCTGAATCACATAGTTACTCTCTGGCTGGCCCGAGGCCCCTGGGTAAGCAGAGGTGCTTTATCAGACAGGGTATTCTGGGGCTTAGGAGGTTATGTCCCAGGGGCTGAGGGC